GCGTGCTAAATTGGAAGGGGGCTTCGTGTCTGCCAAGAGGTACGGGAGGGAGGCTGTGATCGTTTAGCAATGTCTGTAGGGTGTAGGTCTGACATCCCCATGGCGGTGGTGGTGGGGGGGGGCCCTCTGGACAGTCAGTGCCACTCCCAGTGCTGCCCTCCACTGTGATCGGAGGATGGCTACAGCAGGCAACAGGGCTGTTTTCCCTCCTAGCCTTTTACTCGCCTTAGTGACTGGCTTCTCAGTTGCATCACGGCATCAGTTCACATTATTATTATTACTATTATTTTGTAGAGACAGAGTCTCACTTTACCGCCCTCGGTAGAGTGCAGTGCTGTGGTGTCACAGCTCACAGCAACCTCCAACTCCTGGGCTTAGGTGATTCTCTTGCCTCAGCCTCCTGAGTAGCTGGGACTACAGGTGCCCACCACACCGCCTAGCTATTTTTTTGTTGCAGTTCTGCCGGGTCCAGGTTTGAACCCACCACCCTCTGTATATGGGGCTGGCACCCTACCCACTGAGCCACAGGTGCCACCCTCAGTTCACATTAGTTTTATAGTCAACAAAAAATCCACAAGTCTTTTTCGTAAGAACAGCCATCAAGCCAGATTCTCCTCCCGTCTTGACATTATTTCCATTATATGAATATAAAATTAATTTAAATAGATCCTTTGTTGATGTGCATTTAAATTATTCCCCAATTTTTGTAACTGGAAGCAACACTGAGGTAAAACCCTTGTGTCTCTGTCTGTGTGCAGTGGTCTCATTTCCTTAGCACAGATCTCTGGGAAAGGGTCCTTTGAACCAGGAGCATCTTTCGGAGGTGCTGGGTGGTAGCCCCCTAACTGCCAAAGGACATTCCAGAAACTCCAAACTGTCAGGAGTGCTGGGGAAGTGCAGCAGGTGCCCTTCCCCATTCCTTGTACAGCTGAGGATTCACCCTGGTACGGTCAGTCCTCCCTGATGCACTGGAATTGTGGGAGAGGCGCTTCTGCAGGAGCTGAGCTGAGCTGGGCAGCGGGATGTTGAGCAGCTCAGAGGCAGTGATGGGGTCAGGGGTGTGGGTCCGGTCTGGCTATTCCCTTACTCAAAAGCCTCACCTAGAGACCCATGTACTCTGGCAAAGTGTGACCCTCGTTTTATAGCCAAGATCTGTGTCACTAGGGAATCTGCCCCTCTGCCACTTGAAGGAAGAGGTTGACTGTTCACGTAATGACATTGCTATCTCCCTAGAAGAAATTGGGGGCAGAGTGGAGTGTTCAAAGCCTGTAGCTCCCGGGCGCTGCAGAGAAAAACATCTTTATGGGTCCAGCCAGAAAATAGTCAAGCATCTATGTGATATAAGTTTGACAGCTGCTCCTAGCTAGTACCCTGAAACAGCTATCCCAGTTTAATCTCCAACCAGCAGGTCTGAGCGTGTTCTTTGCTGCATGTACTTGTCAACACTGGGCATTTTCACTTAGAAAAATACTACCTTTTTGTTGATGAGTTTAGGTAACTCAGATTAAGAGAACTTTCTTTTGGACGGCGTCTGTGGCTCAGTCGGTAGGGCGCTGGCCCCACATACTAAGGGTGGTGGGTTCAAACCCACCCCTGGCCAAACTGCAACAAAAAAAAATAGCCAGATGTTTTAGCTGGCGCCTGTAGTCCCAGCTATTGGGAGGCTGAGGCAAGAGGATCACCTAAGCCCAGGAGTTGGAGGTTGCTGTGAGCTGTGACGCTACAGTACTCTATAGAGGGCAATAAAGTGAGACTCTTGTCTCTACAAAAAAAACTCTCTTTTAGTGTTTAATACAGCTTCTGATTGGGACCATTAAGAAGTGATGTTATCTGGCTCAAGGTGGGTTCGTGAGCTACATGGGAAACTGTTCTGTGCTCACTTTTGCCCACGTGTTTGTTGGAGAAGCCTGGTGGTTGCAGCAGGATGGCTTGACCATTTCTTTTCTTTTTAGGATGTCCTGAAGTTTTGATTTTTTGGAATAGGGAAGGGTTGCTACATTTCATAGCTCAAGGGATGCCATTGACATAGACTTGACAGGATTAGGTAACAGATTGGCTGGGGCAGGGAAGGGGCTAGAATGATGCTCAGAACGCAATTCTAGGATTGAAGCAGAAGGCTGGGGTGACTGTCAGATCTCCCTTTCCTGGGGAGGATGACCTTGAGAGCAGCTGAGTCGAGAGCCTGGCAATGCCCAGAAAATGATTGCCTATCCCAGGCCACCTCCATCCTCTTCCTGTCCCCAAAGCGTCCCTGCCCTTGGGCCCAAGGCCACTCAGCACTCCAGGCAACACCCAGACTAAGATCCTGCCCTTCCCAAGTTCAGCAACCATCACCTGCTTCTCTTCCCTCATTCTCCTCTGCCCCAGAACATGGCTGGCTGGAAATAATGGCAACCTTCCAAGTCCCCAGGCAGGCCCGGCCCTCACTCCCCACTGTCAGGGAGGATACCCTGCTTGCCTGCTCACAGCTATTTTCAGGCCAGGTGAGAAAGGGCTTGGTAAAGAATGAAATCCCTGCAGACTCACGAAGTGGACATCACACCTGTGTTCCAGCCTCCTGGGTCAGAGGCAGCATGGTGAGGGTCCCAGCAGCCAGACGTAGCCTGTGGCCACCAAGGGGCTTCCCATTCCAAAGGGAATTTAGGGAAGCCACTCAGCAATCTCTGTGTGCCTGTCAACTCTGGGTTATGGGACTGTTTACAATTCTCCTCTTAGTAGGAGAAACCCAGCTGCCTTCTAGAAGGGCAGACAAGACTTTTGTTTCCTGTTAGCCTCTTGCCCAGAAATACAGATTTAGGCCCCCACCAAAACAGGACCAGTTTGAGGGACACGTATGTGGAAACACTTGTGATGTGCTGACAGGCTGCAGAGACAAGGGAGGCAGGGGAGCCTGGGGCGGGGCAGGGCAGAGGCACGGGCTTCCCAGAGGAGCCTGCTCACTCCTCTGTGGGCTAAGGATTAACGGCCTGAAGTCTGAGACAGGCATCATTCCTTACTTCAGACGGCAGTCGGCTGGGGTCCTGAGTGCTCCTGGCAAGCTGCTATTCAAAGCTTGGTCAGTAGAATGGGAGAATTTTAAGATCTGCGTGTCCCATTCCTGTCCCCCCAACCAATACATACACACCAGGCTTAAAGAAAGCTGTTGTGGGTGGGGCTACAGGGAGGGGGATTGGGCGACTCCTACAATGTTGAGAGAATCTTCCTGGTGAGGTTCCTTGAATACTTTGAAGGCATCTAGTCCAGTCCAGCCCACTTATAGTACAGTGAGGGAAAGTGAGGCCTTGAACTGAAAGGTCAACCTAGTTCATGGTCAGATCAAGGCAGAGCCAGGTGAAGAGCCTGGGTCTCCTCTCCTGGTGTCCTCGCCTCACCTGGCCCCATGGGGAACAGGTAGACTATCCCACTGCTTGTCCACACAGGCCAGGGCCAGTTAGTGGAGTGGAAGTCTTGTCCCTGAGCTATAGCTACTTGGCAGTGGGGTCCTGTTTGGCCCCATGAGGGGTGGCAGGGATAGAAGCAGAGTGGGCGGAGGTGGATCCATTGCCCCGGGCAAGGCGTTCCCACCCGGCGAAGAAGGGAGCACTTAGGAAGCGCCACAGCCTGGGTGAAGTCTGCGCCCTTCCAGTGGGACCTCCACCCTGGCCCTGGGGACCAGAGAGCCTTTGAAGTCCCTTCCACACTGAGGCTGAGTGCTCTTCCAGGGTCCGGGAACCTGGCAGGATCACAGAAAGTTAGAAGCTCATTGCTTAAATCTCTCCCTCCTTTCCTTGCCCTACTCTGTAAAACAGTCTGCAGCAGGAGCCAACGTCTGCGCGACAGGAAACGTTTCCAAGTTGGTAGGTCAGGATGAGTCAGCCTATCTGGTGTGTCCCCACCAGTTGGCCCCACAACTACGTGATCCTTAGAGACTTAGAGCTGATGTCATGAGTGTTGTGGGGCTAAGAGACTGAGAGGCAATGAGATGGAGGGGAATGTCGGTCTTGGGGTCCCACCAGCTTGGGCTTAAAGCCCAACCCCCCTACTCACTGCCTGCATGACCTTGGGTGGCTCTTAGCGGCCTGTCTCTTTACCTGTGAAGGGGGAGCTAATAATTTCTCCTTCACAGACTGGTTTTAAAGAGTTATGCCACAACTGTTAAAATGAGCATTCAACATTGTATTTGTCTCTAAATATACAGCCTGTGTCACAAACTGGGGCTTAGACAGCAGACACTTTCTCATCATCCTGGAGGCTGGAAGTCTGAGATCGAGGTTGGGCGTCGGTGTTTCTCCTGCAGCCTCTCCTTGACTTGCAGACGGCCGTCCTCTCCCTGTGTCCTCATCTGGTCGTCCCCGAATCTGTCCTAATCTCTTCTGAAATGGACACCAGTCATACTGGATCAGGCCCACCCTGCTGACCCGATTTTAACTTAATCACCTCCACAAAGACCTTATCTCCAGTTACAGGCACATGCTGAGATGCTGTGAATTGGGGCTGCTGCATTCAAATTTAGGGGTGACAACAGCCTGTGACAAGCACTGGCATAATGCCGGGGCCCAAGTAGGTGTGCAGGGAAGAGTCACTTTTGTTAATTATTATTTTTTTTAAAAGGTAAAAGACCCTAGTGGCGTACTTACTGCAGGTGGTAGGCAGGAGGTGACAGGGTGACAGTATTTACTAAGCACCAGGCACTGCTCTCGGCGCTGGGGACCATCTGCAACCTAATGGGCCAGACCTCATCCTCCAGGAGGACGTTCTTGTGTGGGAGACAGACAGTGAGCAGAATCACTCTAGGAAGTTGTCACATGTGAGAGGGTGGCAGCTGTACAAGAAAAGTAAATCTGAGTGCGTAGGGCGGGACCCTCAGGAAGGTCTGGGCAGGGGTCTTTGTGGGCTGCCACCTTGGGGCATGGGAGGAGCAGGACAGTGGGTGCTGTGGGCTCCTCCAGGAGTATGTGGGGCCACCACTTCCATGGCATGGCACCTGGTTCTGATTTCCCACTCACTTCTCTCCCCTGCAGTGTCGAGGGCGAGGCCCCCAGCAGCGAGACTGGCACGTCCCTCGACAGCCCCTCAGCTTACCACCAGGGCCCGTTGGTGCCCAGTTCCAGCCTGAGCCCAGACCACTACGAGCACACGTCGGTGGGAGCCTATGGGCTGTACTCAGGGCCACCAGGGCAGCAGCAGCGTGCGCGGAGGCCCAAGCTGCAGCACTCGACCTCCATCCTGCGCAAGCAGGCCGAGGAGGAGGCCATCAAGCGCTCCCGCTCACTCTCGGAGAGCTATGAGCTCTCCTCAGACCTGCAGGACAAACAGGTAGGTGGACGTAGCCCCTCGGACTGTACAAAGAGAGAGGCAAGACAGTGGCCTCCCCGGGCGTGACAGGCAGCACAGGAGCCTCTCTGCTGTCAGGCGGCTCTTTCTAACAGGTTCAAGGTAAGGTGCACATTTGCTGGCAACTGGCCTTTGCCTTGGCCTGAGCTCCACCTCTTGCTTCTCCTGGGAGTCTTTTGCCCCAGCTTGGTTCAGGCTGGAACATTTGAAGGACTTGATTGTCTGACAGTCTTTCTAAGGACTCAGGTAGAGTCGTTTTCAGATGAGGCATTTGCCTGGGTTCTCTGTCCCTGTGGCTCAGATCTGGGGGCCGTGCTGGGCATCTGAGCATCATAGACCAGCACCACCAGGGAACTCAGGTTATGTGGTCAGACACAGGTTCTGAAGACCCAGAAGAGAAGAGGGAGGGAGCGTCCAGGGAGAGAAGGAGGGAAGTCAGCTTATAACATAAACAGCGTGAGCTCAGGAGAGAATGCCAAGTCCGTCGGTTGCCCGCGAGGCTCCTTCCTGGCTCCCAGGTCCGTGTTCTTGTGGGGCATTGTTTCATTCTCTCCCTCCCCCAGTGGCCTTGGTCCAGAGAGAGGGCCCACACCCACCATGGGTGGGCACCTGTGTGCAGAGGAGGGAGAGTGAGCAGTCGGCCTGCTTGGCTGGGCTTGAGGAAGGACTAGAGGCAGCTTTTCTGGGTGGAGAGGAAAGGAGAGTCTTGTCTCACTTTGGTGGTGGAGGGGAGAGTCCCTGGGGAGGCAGAGAGCTCTCACTTCCAAGTGAGAGTACGGGCCCATAGTAGGCCCTTTAGTAAGGATCCAAGTCAGTGAACAGACAATACATGAGTGGGCCAGTGAATGAACAGGTCTCTCAGCAGTTCGAGGCTTCAGGTGAACCCCTAGGCTGCCAAGAGCAGGCCAGCAAGCTTGCTGGGGCGGGCTGAGGAAGGGAAGCCTGTCTGACTTGGCCCCAGCTCCACGGCACTTACTGGGCTTCAGGCAGGCTCCTCATAACTCGCAGGCAGCCATCTCTGCGCCTGCCTGGCTTCAGGCCCCCTCCAACAGGCCCCAAACTCCACGCTGCAGATGTCACTTTCCCTCCCTCCTGCCCATGCCTGTCCTATAGCCTGCCTTGCCTTTTCTCTGCTCTGTGATCTTTTTGTTTCATCCTTTAAGGAGCAGAGGTCTGGGCCCAATGTGACCCCACCTTCCAAAGGGAGTGGTGGGGACTGCCCAGGGTGGGTCTTCTCTCCTGGTGAAGAATTCCTTCCTTTTGTTTTTTTTGTTTTTTTGAGACAGATTCTTAAGCTGTCACCCTGGATAGAATGCTGTGGCGTCATAGCTCATAGCAACATCCAACTCCGGCTCAAGCGATCTTGCCTCAGTTTTTCTGTTTTTTAGTAGAGACGGGGGTCTCACTTTTGCTCAGGTTGTGAGCCCTCACCTGGCCCAAAGAATTCCTTTCTTAGCCCCTCCTCACCTGGCTCTCAGTGCAGCCTCCGTTCCATCCACCCGCTGTATACAGATCCAAAGTAGATCACAGACAGTTTAGAGTAAAAGGCCTCTCTAGCAGGACATGAAAATAGAAATGAGAAAGGTTAAGACTTAATAAAGGCTACCCATGAAGATAATTGTGTCCTTAACACAGGTCTAAGATGGTTGCAGCTGCTCATTTTCATTCTGTGCGTACGAGCTGAATGCCCATCGTGTGCCCCTGAGCTGATGCAATTAGCAATCCAGAGACAAGTGTAATTCCAGAAAGTGATGCAAACTGTAGGAATTATAAAATTAAGGAAGGAAATAGAGTGGCTGTAGGAGGTGGTAGCATCAGATAAGGGTGATTGAGAAGACCTCTCTGAGGTGGCTTTAGAACTGGGTATTCTGCCTCAGCACCTGCGGCTCGAGTGGCTAAGGCGCCAGCCACATATACCTGAGCTGGTGGGTTCGAATCCAGTTTGGGCCCACCAAACAACAATGACAGCTGCAACCAAAAAATGGCCAGGCGTTGTAGCAGGTGCCTGTTGTCCCTGTAGCAGGTGCCTGTTGTCCCAGCAACTTGGGAGGCAGAGGCAGGAGAATCTCTTAAGCCCAGGAGTTGGAGGTTGCTGTGAGCTATGATGTCATGGCACTCTACCCAGGGGGACAGCTTGAGGCTCTGTCCTCCCCACACCCCCCAAAAAAGAACTGGGTTCCAGGAAGAGGTGAGAACTGATACGAAGGCCCTGAGGCAAGGTCAAAGTTGGTATGTGTCAGAGATGAAAAGGAAGGCTGGGAAGAGGCAGGAAAGAGGTAATGAGGAGAAGGTGACATTGAGGACCACCGAGCATTTGACACTCTGCTGAGCTTCCTGGCAGGCAAGGCAAAAGTGAGAATGAGACAGGTAGCTTGCATGGGAATTGCCAGATGAAATAGGGTCCCCAATTATGTAGGAGTTTTAAGTCTGGGTAACACAAAGCCTCATTTTAGTGAAAGAAGCACAGTGGTTCGTTCATGTTTTTCTGGTCCTTGGCCCTCTGTACCCTCCAGGAGTATCCTCGTCCTTCAGAGCAGGAAGCCTGAGTGTCATACATTGTACTCTGTCATCAAGCAGTGACAGCTGTGCTTTGCAAAAGGGCATTCCTCTGGGTTCCTCATCCCACTGTTCAGAAGCAGGCCTTTACAGGGTGAGTGAGGACCTAGTGGGAGAGCTCTCTTACCCATTGTCCGGCCTGGGCTAGATGCTACCTTCCCCTGTACCTCTCCTCACCTGAGAAGTGGGTGGTGGAAGTCCTCCGGAGGTCAGCCATCACAATATCAGCTGAGGGTGTGAGTTTTGCAGGACACACAGTAGGTGAGCAGAGGTAGTGGAGTTCCTCCTCCCCCTCTGTAGCGATAAGCTTTAGACCAGGCCGGGTGTTGGTTAGAGCTCAGAAAGAAAAAAGGCCATGGTGAGTTTGGGGGACCAGTAAGAGCAGGTCCAGCAGTGCACGCGCCCTTGGGGAGGGACTACCAGGGGCTCGAGTGACTAAATGCAGAGCCTGTTTCTGCCTCCCTGTGTCCCATTGCCCCTGACACACACAGAGACTAGGGCAAGAGGCCTCGGGAAAACAGGGTAGCTGCCTGGTATGTGAGGTCCGGAGCCAGCAGGTGAGATGGTCCTGGGATGAGCTCCAGGCGGAGCTGGTGCCCCTGGTGCTTGCAGCACCTCCGCCCAGGGTTGACAAGGGGCTCCAGGAACCTTTCTCGGACAAAAAGGGAGGGAGGGGAAAAAAGGCTTCCAGGAGTCCAGCCGCGGGTACTTTATTGGCCCTGCAGGCTTTCTGAGTTATACTTACAACCCAAAAAATAGAAACTTTCTGCTCACAAATGTGGAAGTGAGGTCATCTCTTTGGACAGTGTTCAGTAACTTCAGGGCAAGAGGAAAAGCAGAACCGCCCTGGCTGACTGTGGGCCTGGCTGGGCTTGGGAAAGTCATTTTGATCCCTGCCCGCCAGCTCTTCTCTGCCCAGACTGCCCACCCCACCCCCTCCTGTGGCCCCTGGAGAGTTGATCCATTCATTCACTGTTGGGGTCACTTTCCAGACCTGTTTCATGGGTGCCCCTGAGATGGGGTGGCCCCACAGGGACTCGACACGCTGACTTTGCAGGGAGGGGAGAGCAGAAACGTGAAGTCACTTGCCCTGGCCACCTGCGTGGGATGACAGAGGACCGGGCTCCACATGCAGGCACAGCAGCCCCACAGCAGACCTGAGAGCCCCCGCCTCCGCCTCCCCACCCTGACTCAGGCTACAGCCTTTGTTTTGCTTGGCATTTGTTTGCTTGATTTCAGCTCTGAGCCCGCGTCTCTGTCTCCATTACAGACGCTTAGCTCCTTGAGGCAGGGACTGTGTGTCTCCCCTTCTGCCATCAGGTTTGCTTGGTGCCTGGTACGCAGTGGGCATCACAGCCACCTTGGTGGCACCAGCAGGCAGGCGCAGTGTGCAGCCTCGATCTTAGGGGCCTGAGACCTCTCGTAGCCCCAGGTCAGATGCCTGCCCCACCCTAGCACCCCAAGTGGCTTGTCAGGAAAGACAATTCCTTATCTTAGCTTTCCTTTGATTCTCACAGAGCTGGCTCCAGCTGCAGGGACATGTTCATTTTTAAGGAGAAAGGTTCAGGAAGCAGCACTCAGGGATGTCTTTGGTTGTGGGTGGGCCTGTGTGAGCCTTAGCACTTCAGGAGGCCCATGTGTCACACACGGGGCACCCAAGAGCTCGACCAGCCCCCACCCCCTGTGTACAGCCCTGCTCTTGCAGTGTCAACTCTGTACCCCATCTCTAAACGCAGAAACAAGCCCTCAGGAACCTTGATGTGCAAGTGTGAGAGCCACTCCAGAGCCTTCAGGCCTGTTGAGTGTGTATGGAGTCTGCTCTGGGCCCTGTCTGAGGGTCTCCTAGCCAGCTGGCCCCCCTGTGCTGGGCCTCTGTCTCACCACAGTGGTAGCAGTTGATCCCAGTGCTGCCCCCATTTTATAGATGAGGAAACTGAGGAACTGCACAGGTCCAGGGCTAATCCCAGGTCACAGCTAACAAGGGGTAGAGCAGGGTCAGAGCCTAGGCACCAGGTCTTGCTCCTCAGCACAGCAGACCCATGGGTCTCCCCAAAACTCAGTGACTTCTCTGACCAGAGCTGGTTGATGCCACTGAGAAGAAGTGAGTCTAGAATCCTGTGGCTCATCTTCAGCACCCCAGGCCTTGCTGAGCCCGTCCAAGGTCTCTCACTGTGTGGGCCTCAGGTTCCTCTTCCCCAGAGGGGCCAGCTTCACTTCTTCCAGCAGCTCCAAAAGCCTTCTCATCAGACCGCATGTCACGAGCTGCGTGAGGACCAAAAGTGTCTATGACCCAAGAGGTGTGGGAAACACACTCTGTCTTCTTCTGCCCTTTAATGGCCGGGCACAGTGGCTGCCACCTGTAAAGTAATCTTAGCACTTTGAGAGGCCAAGGTGGGAGAATCATTTGAAATCAGGAGACCAGCCTGGGTAGTACAGTGAGACCCTGACTCTACAAAAATTTTAAAAGTAGCAGGGCATGGTGGCACATGTCTGTAGTCTCAAGTACTTGGGGGGGCTGAGGCAGGAAGATCACTTGAGCCCAGGAGTTTGAGGTTGCTGTGAGCTATAACACCACGGCACTCTACCCCAGGTAACAGAACGAGACTGTCTCTTATAAAAGGGTTCTGAGAAAGGAAGTGCATACTCACTTCGCGACCTGGATTTCATAGAAGCCCACCACGTCCCTCAGCAGATGCTCTAACCAGCTTTGGGGCACAAGACCTTCCTGAGATGCGCCACACACTGCGGGGGTGAGGGGGTGGGTCAGGAAGTGAGAAGGAGCTTGGGCGGGGGTCGTGCTGCACCTGTGCGTGGGTCTGGCCTCACTCTTTTCTCCTCCCCCCAGGTGGAGATGCTAGAACGAAAGTATGGGGGGCGCCTCGTGACCCGCCATGCAGCCCGCACCATCCAGACGGCGTTCCGCCAGTACCAGATGAACAAGAACTTTGAGCGCCTGCGCAGCTCCATGTCGGAGAACCGCATGTCACGCCGCATCGTGCTGTCCAACATGAGGATGCAGTTCTCCTTTGAGGGCCCCGAGAAAGTACACAGCTCCTACTTCGAGGGGAAGCAGGTTTCCGTGACCAACGATGGCTCCCAGCTGGGTGCCCTGGTGCCCTCTGAGTGCGGTGACCTTGGAGAGCCGTCTAACCTTCAGTCTCCCGCCCCCTCCAGTGACTTTGCTGATGCCATCACAGAGCTGGAAGACGCCTTCTCCCGGCAGGTGAAATCACTGGCCGAGTCCATCGATGATGCCCTCAACTGCCGCAGCCTGCACTCGGAGGAGGCGCCGGCCCTGGACACCGCCAGGGCCCGGGACACCGAGCCCAAGCCGGCCCTGCACAGCATGGACCACCGCAAACTGGATGAGATGACAGCCTCATACAGTGACGTCACCCTGTACATAGATGAGGAGGAGCTATCACCTCCTCTGCCTCTCTCACAGGTCGGGGACCGGCCATCCAGCACTGAATCGGACCTGCGACTGCGGGCTGGGGGCACAGCCCAGGACTACTGGGCCCTTGCCCACAAGGAGGACAAGGCCGACACAGACACAAGCTGCCGGAGCACGCCGTCCCTGGAGCGGCAGGAGCAGCGGCTGCGGGTAGAGCACCTCCCCCTGCTCACCATCGAGCCACCCAGTGACAGCTCCGTGGACCTTAGTGACCGCTCAGACCGTAGCTCGCTCAAGAGGCAGAGCGCCTATGAGCGCAGCCTCGGGGGGCAGCAGGGCAGCCCCAAGCACGGCCCCCATGCTGGACCCCCAAAGGGCCTCCCCCGTGAGGAGCCGGAGTTGCGGCCCCGGCCCCCCAGGCCCCTGGACAGCCACCTGGCCATCAACGGCTCGGCCAACCGTCAGAGCAAGTCAGAGTCGGACTACTCAGACGGCGACAACGACAGCATCAACAGCACATCCAACTCCAACGACACCATCAACTGCAGCTCTGAGTCCTCATCCCGAGACAGCCTGCGGGAGCAGACGCTCAGCAAGCAGACCTACCACAAGGAGACCCGCAACAGCTGGGACTCGCCGGCCTTCAGCAACGACGTCATCCGCAAGCGGCACTACCGCATCGGCCTGAACCTCTTCAACAAGTGAGTCCAGGCGCCTGCCCACACTGCCCTCTCGAGGGCGCCTGCCCGTGCTGCCCTGCCGAGACCACCTGCCCACACTGCCCTGCGAGTGCACCTGGAGCTGGGCAGGGCTGAGCCCTGTGCCATGGCCCACATGCCCATGCAGTGCCAGGTTTGAGGTTCAGAGTGAGCACACGTGGGTGGGCAGGACACCTCACAAGGGGTTAGGGGCCATTCTGGCTATGAGAGAAGCCTGGCCCCTCCCGGGGCCGCTGTCAATGAGGATGGCAGGGACTCGGGCTGAGCAGGGCAGAATGGGGGCTTTTCTGTGGTGAAACAATTTGAGAGAGTATCATCTGCTCTGAGTCTAGAGCCCTGCTGCTGTGTCACCCCTGTGTCTACTGCGGCAACTGGGTATTTTGGGCCATGGCCTGCCTAGTTAGGTTCAAGGTGATGCAGGGCACAAAGGCCTTAGAGTAAGGGCATGAGAGGACGCGTCTGGGAGTGAGACCCAGGGGCAGATGCAGGCCAGACCTAGACCTGTGTCTGAGGGTGACACCCCAGGGGCAGATGCAGACCAGACCCACAGCTGTGTCTGAAGGCGACACCCTAGGGGCAGATACAGGCTGGACCCAGGCCCTTGTTGGTGGGGACCCCAGGGCCAGATGCAGGGCAGAACCTGGGGGGAACAACTCAGAGACAGACGCAAGCTGGACCTGGAGTTGGATCTGGCCCAGGTCTTCAGGAGCTGCGTGAGTTGGGTTCACTGAGTGACTGCTTCCCTGAGGGTTCTAGTAAAGGTGCTGTTGGCCATCCTGAGGGCAGATCCAAGGAGAGACGGATATTTAAAGCTGACTATTCTTAGCACAGCCAAAAATAGCATGAGGAAGGGAGGGAGAGCTGAGCCTCCCTCAGGAGACACTGGCAGGCTCTTGTGAAGCCTGAGACGTCACATTATTTCCATTTCCGGGGCCTCTGGGATTGGGGACATCGATACCATCCTGGCACCAACTCCCCTGGGGTTGGGAACATGGAGAGGATGTGGTCAGCCTGCCTGGTGGTTTCTGACACTCATCCTGGGAGCCTAGGGCAGTGGTTTTCCCAAAAGGTCACACTAGGGTAGAAAGTGACACAGTGGGGACCTGGTCCCCTCAAAGCCAGTGCTGGGCTGCACTTCCCTGTTCCCTGCCACTGTTTCTCCTGAGTTGTAGGTCAGGGTGCTTTTGAACCATACCAGGTAGACAGAAGTGCTGTGCAGACTATCAGAGAGGCCTGTCCTAGAAAGTGGGTCTAAGGAATGGTGTAGTCACTTGGAACTGACCAAGAGGCTGTGGGTTATGGGTCCTTGCTCAGCTGAGTCTTGGACATCTCCATTCAGCCAGGGGTGCTTTCTCCTAAGCTTAGTCATCTCACATCAGCCAGGGGCGCTTTCTCCTGAGCTTGGACATCTCACATCAGCCAGGGGCGCCTTCTCCTGAGCCTTTGATCTGCCGGTGGCCTGTTGCACATATGGGCCAGCCCACCACTCACAAGCCACAGCAGGAGCAGTGCACAGGATGGTGGAGGGTCCTGTCCTATTGAGCCCACCTGACTTTGTCCCAGAAGTCTGCCCCCACTGCTCTTGGCACAGCCAGCTCCAGGGTCATCCTCAGACCCAGGCCTGGTCCCATAGTGGGCAGGCTGGGATGAAGAGTGGATGGGTAGGGGCCAGACTGGCAGTCTCACTCAGCCAACCAGCTTTGATGTAGATTCTTTCTTGTTCTACTGATTTTTAATTGCTCGTGTGACACATGAATACATTCTCCACAGGAAACATGGTCTCTCTTTCCACATCTTTTGTCCTGTGTGTGTGTGTGTGTAATATCTGTGTGTCCTGGCCAGCACAGCCTCCTGCCCCACACCGTGTGCATCTGGGAAGCAGGCTGATGCCGGTGGCTGAAGAGCTGGTTTGTGTGATGTGCCTATATGCAAATGAGCTGCTATTTATTTTTGGATCCTTGCTAACATCACTGGAGCCTGGGTCTGTGTGATGTTGTCTTCCCCCTGGGATATCATTGCACCTCTTGCTGGGCCCTGCACGTAGACAGCCTCATTCCTGCTGACTGCTACGTGGTTGTCCATGGTGTGGCCATCCTGTGGTTTTTGGCCAGTTGTTTTTTTCACAATGATCAATAGTATGGCGGTGAACATAATCCTTTACACACACAGCCAAGTGAATTTCCAGATAAGATAGCTAGAAGTGGAATTGTTTGATCTCAGGTAGACATGTTTTCAGTTGAAGTAAGAGCTGCCCAGATTACTGTTTAAAAGGAGGCTGTGCCTGTTCCCACACTCTGCCGCTGGATTTAAGAGTTCCTCTTTCCCCCCAAACACCTGTCAACACTTAGTATTCTTTCCCCTCCAATCACTGGGTAGAAATCGCATCTCTTGGTTGTTTTAATTTTCTCTTGCTTGCTTTAAAGGTAGAGCATCTGTGTCGTTCAGCTGTTTGCCTGTCTATAAAACGGCTGTTCATGTTCTTTGCCTGTTTTTCTCTTGATTGTCAATTTCCAAGATGTGCGGCTCAGCCCTATGGCTCAAGTGGCTAAGGCGCCAGCCACATACACCCAAGGTGCCAGGTTCAAATCCAGCCCGGGCCCGCCAAACAATGACGGCTGCAACCAAAAAATAGCCGGGCGTTGTGGTGGACACCTGTGGTCCAAGCTATTCGGGAGGCTGAGGCAGGAAACTCGCTTGAGCCCGAGAGTTGGAGGTTGCTGTGAGCTGTGATGCCACGGCACTCTACCCAGGGGGACAGCTTGAGGCTCCTGTCTCAAAAAAAAAAAAATTTCCAAGATGTGTCATTAGTAGGCGTTCTTTATGTGTTGTGGGTACTAATTCTTTGTAATTATAGATAGTTTCCTGTCACTTGTCTTTCTTTTTTTTTAAGGCACTCATGAAACAAAGTTTATTGAGGAAGAGAAAGGTTTATAGAGTAAGAAAGTTTACAAAGCAGGATATGTTCACCATCGAAAACAAATGGACCTCCATTGCCAGGGGAAGTGGGCAAAGGGTTTATCTTTCTTGTCTTTATAAAAATATTTTCTTGGCCGGGCATGGTGGCTCACTCCTATAATCCTAGCACTCTAGGAGGCCAAGGCAGGGTGGATTGCTCAAGCTCAGGAGACCAGCCTGAGCAAGAGTGAGACCTGGTCTCTACTAAAAATAGAAAAACTAGCTAGGCATTGTGGCAGGCACCTATAGTTTCAGCTACTTGGGAGGCTGAGGCAAGAGGATTGCCTAAGCCCAAGAGATTGAGGTTGCTATGAGCTATGATGATGCACTCAGGGTAACAGAGTGAGACTCTGTCTCAAAAAAAAACTGAGCTGTAATTCACATACCATGAAATTCACTCTGACAAATAGTATACAATGCGTAGTTTTAGTTGCACGTCTTGTTTATGTTCTTTTCAATTCTATTTAGTCAATTCAATGTTTTCTTTTTTATTATTTTGGTGTTTTTGTGTTCTATTTTGAAAGGCTCTACCCCAGGTAATAAATAATTTTAAGAACTTTTTTTAGTACTTCCTTGCACCCAATCCTTGGTTCTGATTTATACATTTTTATGACTTTAATCTAGATTTTTTTTTTTTTTTTTTTGCAGTTTTTGGCCAGGGCTGGGTTTGAACCCACCACCTCCCGTATATGGGGCCAGTGCCCTACTCCTTGAGCCACAGGCGCCACCCTGGAATTTGTTTTGAAGAATGATTCGAGGTGAAGAGTCTAACTTTAGTTATGCTCAGTGAATTAGTCAGTTGTCTCCAAACAATTTATCCAATAGTCTATTCTTTCCCTACTGACTTGAAATGCCATCTGACTCCCACACGAGCATAGGCCTAAAGTTTGATCCTCTCATTCTTTCAGCAAATATTTAATGGACACAAAAGACTCATGCTAGGTGTAGTGTCTCACATCTGCAATCCCAATTGTGAGGCTGAGGTGTGAGGATTGCTTGAGGCCAGGAGTTCAAGACCAGCCTGAACAACATGGCAAGACCTCATTTCATTAAATTTAAAAACAAAAGAACAACAATTCTTGTGGCAGTCAATGCTAACAGGAAGATCTATTTGTTTATGCCCTTGCCAACATCAGAATTTTAAGTACTACGGTCTGATATGCTTTCTTTTAAGGGCAAGAACTCTTCTCTTATATTTTTTAAAAATTGTCTCAGAGCAAGGTGTGTTGGGTGCCCATAGTCGCAGCTTCTTTGGAGACTAAGGCAGGAGGATCAGTTGAGCACAGAAATTCAAGACTGCAGTCAGCTGTAATCACACCTGTGAACAGCTACTGTACTCCAGCTTGGACACTATAGTAAGATCCTGTCTCTTAAAAAAAAAAAAAAGATTGGGCTCAGCACCCATGGCTCAAGTGGCTAAAGTGCCAGCCACATATACCTGAGCTGGTGGGTTTTTTTTTTTTTTTTTTTTGAGACAGAGCCTCAAGCTGTCCCCCTGGGCAGAGTGCCGTGGCATTACAGCTCACGGCAACCTCCAACTCCTGGGCTCAAGCGAGTCTCCTGCCTCCGCCTCCCAAGTAGCTGGGACCACAGGCGCCCGCCACAACGCCCGGCTATTTTTTGGTTGCAGCCATCATTGTTGTTTGGCGGGTCCGGGCTGGGGATTCGAACCCGCCACCTTAGGTGTACGTGGCTGGCGCCTTAGCCAGTTGAGCTATAGGCGCCGAGCCGAGCTGGTGGGTTCAAATCAAGCCCAGACCTGCCAAACAACGAGGGCTACAACCAAAAAATAGCTGGGCATTGTGGTGGGCATCTGTAATCCCAGCTACTAGAGAGGCAGAGGCAGAAGAATCGCTTGAGCCCAAGAGTTGGAGGTTGCTGTGAGCTGTGATGCCAGGGCACTCTACCCAGGGCAACAGCTTGAGGCTCTGTCTCTGTCTAAAAAAAAAAAGATTGGGCAGCCCCGTGGCTCAAGGAGTAGGGCACTGGCCCCATATGCCGAGGGTGGCGGGTTCAAACCCAGCCCC